TGCCCAGCGTAGCAGGGGGCCGGGCGTGCTGTTTCCGGAGGGGCGTCTGCATGGGGCTCCCCTCTGTCCTCCTGTGGGGAGCCCGGGGCCCAGGAGCAGCCCCCGGTGGGTTCCAGAGCCGGGCATGGTGCCATGCTCTTGGCTGTTTAACCGCGCGGGAGGAGGGGTGCCTGGCCCTGGGGACTGGAGAGAGAAGGCCGCAGGCTGGGACCAGCTGGGGGAGGCTGCCGGCCACAGAGCCGACCTTTCTCCTGCTGAGGATGGAGAACCCTGGCGAGTGACCCGCACCCTGCGCACGAAGGCGAGTCCCCCCCAAACCTAGCAACGTAGTTTGTCTCCGGTGGGAGGCAGCTCCCAAACCTCCCCTCCCCCGAACTCCTCCTCATTGCCGGCTGACCTGGTTCAGGGCCCTTGGTTGTGTTCCTTCGACCCCCAGCTCAGCCCCTCCCTGGGGCTCCCCTCCCGGCGTATCACCAGAGAGCCAGGAGCTGCCCTTGCAGCCTTCTCTGGGGGAGCTCCCCGAGCCAGGCCCTCTGGTCGCCTCAGCCGAGCCCAGCGGCTCTTCTCTGCCCGGCTGCTGGGTGACGTCACATCTGTGGTCGGGCAGTGGCGCTGGGTTTGCCGGGGCTGCTCTTCTGGAGCTGTGTACCGACCAGGGACTGGAGAGCCCTCGCCCGAGAGCCTAGGGAGGCCTCTGCCGGCCTCCTGGCTGCGTCGCATTGGTGGCTCCTCGTCACCTAGTGGCCAGCCCCCCCGGGAGCCGAAATTCTTCTAATTAGACCGTAAGTCCCATTGCCTTGTCTGCTTGGGCATGTTGAATCTCAGCCCGTGTCTGTCGCCGGGTTCGAGACCCCCCGGCTCTGCCTGGGGGATGTTCCGATCCTCCCCCGGATTGAGGGTCTTCCCGACCGCGTCCCCTCAGCAAAGCCCGATACGGGTGTCAGATCCCGTGTGATTAGTCAGCCCGTTAAACGTGAACCGGTAACGATTAAAAGGGGGGGGCGCCGCCCCCCCGCCGGGCTGGACTGCCTCCCTCCGACCTGCGCGGGGCTGCTGGTTCCCAGCCCCCAGGGACTGGGGTTGGCAGCCCTGTGTGGGGCTGCTCCCGGGCACCGGTGAACTGTTACCCGGTTAGCGTCACCCGCTAGGTGATGCCTGCCAGTTAACCGGTTACCCGAGAACATCCCTAAATTCCATCGGCCCCTCCCGGCCACTAACAGCGCTGCCGCAGCGGGGCCC